TGAAAATTTGGCAATCTGACGGCGCAGCAGAGTTCAGGAGCAACCAAATGTAGAGTTACCTGGCGCAAAAGGGGAATGAGCACCACATTTCTCTCCCCTACGCGCACCAGCAGCAGGGCATAGCTAAGCGAACAAATTCCACGATCATGACAAAGGTGCGGGCGCTGATGAAGCAATCGAGCTGCCGCCGATCTACTTGACCTACGCGATGCACCACGCCGTGCGGGTGCACAACCTGCTTTCAACCACCGCCATCACTGGCAACCTGTCACCACATGTCAAATGGACAGGGACAAAGGGGGACACATCCATGCTCCGCATGTGGGGGTGCATGGTGCAACACCGCCCGCCGACATCAACCATTGGCAAATTTGCCCCAGCGAGGGATCTCAGTGGCCTCAAGGAACTGCTGACGCCAAGCGTCAGTCAGGCGGCTAAAGCAGCGCTGGGTGGGGTGCGGACCCCCACACTCCTCACCCGCACGGTCGCCAGTGCGCAGGACGTAGGTGCACGGACCAGTACCCCCACCCCTCTGACGTGCAGTGTACCACTCACGGAGCTGCTGAGGGGACAGGGTCTCCCGACTGCGCTGCTGCTGCTGGCGCTGACCACCACCAGAGCCACTCCTCTGCGACGAGCCACGACCTCCTCCTCCTCCTCCTCCTCCACCACCGCCTCCACCACCTCCACCACCTCCACCACCTCCACTCCCACCGCCACCGCCGCCGCCGCCTCTGCCTCCACTGCCGTTAGTCAACCATGCGGCAATCAAAGGTGCAAGAGTTCTTTCAGGGAAATGGGTCTTCCGCGTGAAGACCGCAGCTGACGGAATGATCGAGCGCTTCAAGGCGCGTTGGGTGGTACGCGGATACGACTAGAGGCACGGCATCGACTTCGACCAGAACTTTGCCCCAGTCAGCCGCCACACCTCCGTCCGAATCCTGCTCGCCATCGCAGCTGCAAGGCACCTGCCTCTCCGCCAGATCGACGTGAAGAACGCGTTCCTGTACGCGCTAGCAGACGCCGTGATTTAAGTGGAGCAGCCGCACACATACGGCAAAGGGGATTTGCGAGCATGCCAGCTGCGCAAATCCCTGTACGGAATAAAACAGGCACCACGGCTTTGGCAGCAGTATCTACACAACATCCTGCTTGATATCGGGTTCATGCAGATGCCGCACGATCCAGGGATGTACCGCCGCGTACATTCTCCTCACGATCTACGTCGACGAGCTGCTTTACACGGGATCAAGCACCGAGTTACTCGAGCAGTTTGAGAAAAGCTTGGCGGGGCGCGTCGACATCACCTGCAGCTACGAGGTGAAGCAGTTTTTAGGCCTCAACATCTCCTACGCACCTGCAGCCATTCACCTTTCAGCGGCTAAGTACGCACAGGAGTTAGGGAAGCGGTTCAACATCTCGCCTGCACCGCTCTCAACTCCTTATCGAACTCCGGGACCGAACCACAAACCTGACAACAAAGCCCTATTCTCTGCTGGAGTTCAGACTTACTAGCAGCAGCTGGGATGCCTGCTCTTTGCCTCTGTCACCTGCAGGCCAGACCTCTCCTACATCGCAAGTCAGCTGGCCCAGTATTCACGCAAACCAATGGCTGAGAATCTTCTGGACCTGCGGTCTTAGAATCAGGACGTGAAATGAGTGAACTATGAATGAAAACAAGTACAAGTACTAACCCTAATTGGGTTGTACCCCTTATGGGCTACCCCACTGTAGCCTAGATAACATGCATCAGCTATAATGTTCTGACACACCCCCATAGGCAAAGTGGGGGAGAACAAGGGGTCACAAGACCAGTCAAGCAAAGCAAGCTCAAGGTGGATCACAATGTCACCACACGTTCTGAGCACAAGTTCAAGGCCACAAGGCCAGTTCACATGCAGGAGTACATATATATAACAGTGCTGGACAAGCAAGAGCAGGTATATATATATGTAACAGTACAAGCAAGGTCAAGAGGTGAGCAAGTTAGGTCCAATGGGCACAAGCCCTAGAAGAGTGCAAAAGCGCTGATGGTCACAAGGCTGAAGTGCCTTGGTGAACACATCAGCAGTGTTGGCCTCAGTCGCCACGTAACGCAGACGAAGCTGACCACGCTGCTGCAACTCTCGAGCAAGGAAGTAGCGCAGAGTAATGTGCTTCGTCCTGTGCTCCAGTCTGTGCTCCTCACACAAGGCAATGGCTGCCTTGTTGTCGACGTACAGCACTGGAGGAGACCGAGGCCGCTCTCCAAGGTCAGTCAGCAAGTAGGTGAGCCAGCGTAGCTCTTGAGCAGCCATGGCCGTGGCGTAGATCTCAGCCTCACAACTGGAGCTGAGAACAGAAGAAGAGCGTGTAGAACGCCAAGAGACTGAGCCAGAGACAAGACTGAAGGTGTAACCCTGAGACGACCGCTGAGTAGCCTGGTCGTCAGCCCAAGAAGCATCTGAGTGCCCAGCGAGTACAACTCGGTCTCGCCCTCCAAGCACTAGCCCCATGCCCGACGTACTGCACAAGTAGCGCAACACCCTCTTAGCTGCATCCATGTGCTTCTTCCGGTGACGGCCGGGAGCGACATAGCATGCAAGGATGCAAAGAGGGTATGCAAGGTCAGGTCGAGTGCAGGTCATCAGGTACATGAGGCAGCCCACAAGCTCTGGATACGGGCCACTCGGCTCTACGGACTCATCCGAAGGCAGAGCTGAGAGCGAGTGGCGAGTAGGCAGAGGAGTGGCCTGAGCCGAGGAGTACGTGAAGCCGAAGCGCTGAAGGACCTGCTGCACCATGTGTGACTGAGTCAAGGTAATGGTGCGGCGTGCTCTGTCCCGGGTGATCCGCAAGCCAAGATGGCTTGTCAGTTCACCCAGGTCTGTGCACGTGTGTCTCTTCTGCAGCTCGGACTTCACGTGGGCGAGTGCCACAGTGACCGCAGTGGCAAAGACCAAGTCGTTGACGTACACGAGGATGTAGAACGGCGGCAGCGAGGTGTCGGTGCGTAGAAACAGCGACGGGTCAGCAGTAGAGGGAGCGAACCCCAGAGCTGCAAGTGTAGTCCTCAGTGTGTCGTGCCACTCGCGTGGCGCCTGGCGGAGACCGTAGACTGGCCGCCGAAGGCTCCACTGGGTACCAGGAGGAACGACCCAGTGAAGCCAGGTGGACGGCGCAGCCAGATTTCCTCGTGCAGGCTGCCCTGTAGGAAAGCAGTGCTGAAGTCAAGAGAGTGGAGCTCGTAGTCACGCTCGGCGGCGACGTGCAGCAGAACCCGAAGAGTGGTCATCTTTGGAGTCGGGGAGAAGGTCTGGAAGAAGTCAACTCTCTGCCGCTGACTGAAGCCATGAGCCACGTAACGCGCCTTGAAGACAGGCGGAGAACCCGGCGGCCGCTTCACCCTGAAAATCCACATGCCACTGACGATGTTCGCCCCAGGTGGGGGAACCTCGTCGACGTAGGTGCTTGTGGACTTCCAGGAAGCCATCTCTGCGTCCATAGCTGTCTGCCACTGAGAGGAGTAGGGACCGGCCATCGCCTCTGCGTAAGAGCGTGGGGTCGGGATGTCTGGAGCATCCGGGTTTCCCTCAGGGGCAACAAGCATGGACACGAGATGGGGCAAAGCGGCGGCAAAGCACTCGAAATCCTCCTGCCTGTCCTCAAGGACGTCCGTGCCAAGAGCACACTCACCCCCGACGGACGGAGGATAGGCAGACTCAGACTCAGCAACAAGACTCGCGACGTAGTCTAGACGACAAGCGGTAGCAAAGTCGACCAGCTCAGCAACTAAGGCAGACGCAGCAGCGGACTCAAAGGAAGGGTCAGTGACAACAGTAGCAAGGAGACGCGTTACAGTAGGACTGGCAGCACGGAGAGAGTCCGACTCCGGGTCGGCAAGAGCAGGAAGAGAAGACTCAGGAGGAGAAGGCAAAGGGGCACGCAGAGGAGCAGTGGACGGACGCACAGACATCCGGTGCGTGCTAGGGACAGGAGGAGGACACTGACGCGAACCGCGACCACTAGTGCGAGCAGCACGGACAGGTGACGCAGGGCGAGACGCAGGCTCACGACGCTCAGCAAGACCTCCAGTAGGACCAGTGTAGGGAGACGAAGCAGGCAGTGGGGAGGCGGGCTGTAACTGTAACTGCGTCGGGACAGGCTGTGGACACTCTAAGGGAGGAGAAGGACCAGTGGAAGACGGGAGACCAAGAACCTGCTGAAGGAGCGGAACGAAGTACGGCTGAGGCCGCGCGGCGACTCCAGACACATCAGGGACAGCACCAGCACCCTCAGAGGCAGCACCAGCACCAGTAGCAGCGCCAACTCCAGTACCCCCAGCAGGACCGACAGTAGTAGACTCCGCGCCAACTCCCGCAGCAGCTCCAGCTCCAGAAGCACCCGCAGGTCCGGCAGCTCCAGTACTCTCAGTACGAGCACCTCCATGACCCGTGGCACCTGCTCCCTCAGCAGCAACAGAATCTCCAGTACCCGCAGTACCTCCAGCTCTAGCAGCTCGCCTCCAGCGCCGGGCAAACCACTCACGCAGCTCCTGTGGAGAGAGCGGCTCCCGGCAAGAAGAAGGACCCGCAGAACCGCCAGGCACAGCACCAGCAGGCTCAGCACCCCCACGCGTAGCACCCCCTGGCTCAGCACTCCTAGGCTCAGCACCCCCAGGCGTAGCACCCCCAGGCTCAGCACTCCTAGGCTCAGCACCCCCAGGCTCAGCACCCCCAGGCTCAGCACCCCCAGGCGTAGCACCCCCAGGCTCAGCACCCCCAGGCGTAGCACCCCTAGTCTCAGCACCCCCATGCTCAGCACCCCCAGGCTCACCACCCCCAGAGTCAGCACCCCTAGGCCCTGCACCCGCAGCAGCACCAGATTCACCAGTGACCTCGACAGGCTCAACAACGTCTACCTGGGACACACGTGAAGGGGCATGACTCTGAGGGGGGAGGACAGAGCAATCCTCGCGGATACGCAAGATGAGAAGTCGATGTTGAACTGGAGCTCGAACTCTATGTTACGGCCAGCGGCACATTGCCAGTTAGGTAGTTGGAGCTCAAGTCCCTGGCGGCGTGGGGAGGATTGGGGGGAGGGAGGGAGGGAGGGGGTGAGAGGGATAGGTCGAAGGAGAGGACAGGGGAGGTGACGTAAAGTTGGAGGGGATGAAAGGGGGGAGGGAGGAGGGTATGTGGGAAGGTGGTGTGGTGCAGCCAAGAAGTGATTGGAGGGAATAACAGGCAGGTGAGTGACTTGGGGGCAAAAAGATCAGAGGCAGGAGACAGAGGACCCCACACCACAGCTCGTTGCTATACAAGGAGCTGCTAGGAAGGGGAGGACGGAGGGGAAGAGTTGCGAGAGGCTTTTGAAACGCGTCCATGCAACTTGTGCTGCCCACCGGATTACACTGCCTCCTCGGGGGCTGGCTCTTCCTGACAGCAGCAGGGCGAGGGGGGAGCGTGAATAGGGGAGACCGAGAGAGGGGGCGGGGGGTGAAGAGGGGGGGAAGGGTTGGGAGAGAAGCTTAAAGGCGGGGTGTTGGGGAGAGGGGATGTGTGCCGGCCACCGAATTTTGCCTCCTCCTCGGGGGCTCCTCCTAACAAGGGTAGAGGGTCGGGAGAGAGGGTCGGGGGAGAGGGGTGTGGGAGAGGGGTGTGGGAGAGGGGTGCGGGAGAGGGGTGGGGGAGAGGGGTGGGGGAGAGGGGTGGGGGAGAGGGGTGCGGGAGAGGGGTGCAGGAGAGGGGTGCGGGAGAGGGGTGTGGGAGAGGGGTGTGGGAGAGGGGTGGGGAGAGGGGTGTGGGAGAGGGGTGGGGGAGAGGGGTGTGGGAGAGGGGTGTGGGAGAGGGGTGTGGGAGAGGGGTGTGGGAGAGGGGTGTGGGAGAGGGGTGTGGGAGAGGGGTGTGGGAGAGGGGTGTGGGAGAGGGGTGTGGGAGAGGGGTGTGGGATAGGGGTGTGGGAGAGGGGTGTGGGAGAGGGGTGTGGGAGAGGGGTGTGGGAGAGGGGTGCGGGAGAGGGGTGTGGGAGAGGGGTGGGGGAGAGGGGTGGGGGAGAGGGGTGTGGGAGAGGGGTGTGGGAGAGGGGTGTGGGAGAGGGGTGTGGGAGAGGGGTGTGGGAGAGGGGTGTGGGAGAGGGGTGGGGGAGAGGGGTGTGGGAGAGGGGTGCGGGAGAGGGGTGTGGGAGAGGGGTGGGGGAGAGGGGTGGGGGAGAGGGGTGGGGGAGAGGGGTGCGGGAGAGGGGTGTGGGAGATACGTGGCAGAGAACAGAGGACAACTTTCACACGAGTTGCATCTTCGAGCTCACCTTTTTGACTGGGCCATCACCACTTACAGCCCCCAGACCCCTTTACGCCTTAACTTCTGTCAACCCTTCGATATCGTACCTATACCCTCATACCTTGCCCTCACTCCCTCGTAGGTGCGGCCACTCGCGCATGACCCGCGAGGCACCCTTTATCCCCCCCTCTCCCTTAATCCCCTCTTCCCCTCCTCCCCATCCCCCCAACACTTACCTGTATCCCCCACAATCATCCCTGATCCCATGGCTCACCCACCGGTGTGTCCACTCGCGCATGTCCTGCGCCAGCTTATGCAGCACCATGATGCGGTCTGCTGGTACACGTCCTCACACACCTGGCGGAGGGAGAAAGGGGGAAGAGGTGGGAGGAGGGGTCAACTTGAAACCAGCTTGCGCAGCACCATGCGATCTGCTACTGCTGGTATATGGTCCTCCTCACACGACACCAGCTTGCACAACACCATGCAGTCTGCTGGCACACAGCCCTCACACACACACTCACACACACACCTGCAGCGGGGGGGGGGGGGGGGGTGGAGACGGGAACACGGAGGGGCAGGGTGACGGAGGTTGTCAGGCACAGAGGGGAGAGAAAAGGCCTGGTTGCTTTGAGACAACCCAAACCAAGCTTGCGCAGCAACATGCCGTCTGCTACTGCTGGCACAAGTCCTCACACATCTTCCCCGGTGCACATTCAGGAAGGCGGAAAGAGTGGGAATGGCGCAGAGGGGAACAGGCAGGGAGACCAAGGTTTGGGGATGTCGCACAGTGTGTGCACACTTGAGCGATCCATGTCGCACGGGTGGCGGAGAGTGGAGAAGTGAGAGGGGTTGGGTTGGGACTCGAGCGAAAAACGACTGCTAGCAATCCCCGTCGTCACTCATTTCTCCTCGCTGCACAACCCTCTCACTTTCATCACCAACCAACCCAACACTCCCACCTCCCCCCCCCCCTCCCCCTCCTTCCCCCCCTCTCCCGCGGCGCTCCTCGAGGAATGCGTCTGCAATCTTGTTGCGAACGCACCCGATTTCTTTGTCCATGCCTTCCATCGCTCTCCCTACTCCCCCCCCCCCCCCCCTCCCCTCTTGTTCCCTCCCTTGAACATCTCCAAATGACATGAGCAACCTCCTTCAGTGTCACCTACCTGTCAGTACCACCCTTAACCCTCCTACCTAATCCATCCCACAACTCCTTGGCTCTGTCCCTGTTTCATTGCATGAGTTTGCGTCACATGCCAGGTAGTCCCATGCTCTCTCCCTTTCTCGGATCCCTTCTTGGCCATCTGTCCTCTGGAGGAACCGGCTGAGTTGATCAGCTTGTTGACCAACCTGATGTGAGTGATCTGCGCAGAACTGGCTGAGCTGATCCGTGCCTGAGTCCCTTATCTGTCGCACCTCAACCAACTCGCCACACTGTAATATGTCCACTGCACTGAGAGATCTGGGCAGGCTCAATTGCTGAGGGGTGTCACTGGGTCGAAGAGGGTAGAGGGTTAGTGGTTGCGGGTGTACTGGCATGGGGCCACTGCGTGTGCAGAGTGAAAGAGTCTCAAGTTATGATTGTGACAAATGAGAGATAGGTTAACATAGGAAAGGAAACGGTGGGCAGATTGGATGAGTGCCCACACCATCATTGGTGGGTCAATTAGGTTGACCACGCAATGATTGCCCAACATTATTGGGGGATGGGGGTGGCAATAATTGATTGGATGGCCCAGTTATTATTTGGGATCCCCCCATCAAATACGGTCCAAAAATGTTGGGAAGCACTCAACCAAAATCGGTTGGGGCTAGTTGAGCCAAAGTGCACCACATTGGGTGTATCATTTACAGTAGTATTAACTAGCATATGCAACATTCTAACAGATAGATATTGAAAGACGAATGGGAGGGGGATTGCTGTGGTGCAGCGCGGACTATGTACAGGGCGTTGTGTGCATGCATGCATTCTTGTGCGTTAGCACTCAGCACTGCACCATGCAAGAACATTGGGTTCTGCTTTTACCAAGGCTATCCCATGCATGTGTATCTCGTTGTCCGTAGCACTCAGTGGGGCACATACCCGCATCGCCAGTGGTCCATTCCATTCCCTGTAACCATGTGCAGGAGCCTTTTGGTCAACGGGTTCACTGTGGACAGCAGTCTGCCCTCAGCACCATCTCCACCCTCGATATCCTGTCAGCCACCCCATTGCCTCGCCCACCCTGCTGTTGCATCTGCACGTGCTATTTGTTCACTCATAGAGCCATGCGGCTCTCCTTTTGCCATGCCATGCTCTGAATGTCCTCCTCCCCTTGCTGCATGCAAGGCAGTGAAGCTCCGCTCCTGTCAAGATAACGATGTTGCAATGCCCCCTTGAGTCTGATAAAGTGACGCTGCAGCCCTCAACAATATTACTTACGCGCCAAGGCTATGTGGATGTTTCTCGAGCTCTTGAAAGAAGTCAGATTGATTAAAATGGATTGATGCAACTGCCTCTGTTCCCCTGCTCTGCCTTAGAGTCGACTACAAGCTCTGTGCTTTTTAGCCGACTGAAAAGAAACTGTCTCTATCCTGTGCTCTGCCGTGTAGCGACCTGCACAATAACAACTTCCCTGGCGCCATTCCTAATTAGGTCTCAACCCTACCCACACTGATGAGCATGTATGCAGACATCATGAACATGCATGCAGTCATCATGAGCATGTATGCAGTTACCATGAGCATGCATCCAGCCATCACGAGCATGTATGCAGTCATCATGAGCATGTATGCAGTCATCATGAGTACGGTATGTACGCCGTTCATTCTGTCACTGCATGGGGCCAAGAATATGCTCGTGGAACTGTGACTCACAAGTTGTGAGAGCGCGTGCGGTGTTCTTTTCAATCTCTGGGCTAATCACCGCTCCACCGAAAATTCCTCTTTCCCTACCCTACTCCAACCTTAGTAATGTCTTGAATAGACGCTTGACACCTATCATTATAGCTGTAGGGTTCAACATACAATCATAGACAATTTTTTATGCTTGTGAGCAATTCATTGTGTGCACAGGGTACAGCCGAAACATAGTGTATGGATCCAGAACGAGATTTTAGTCTACAGACCTTCACTCCCCCGTTTTGGCCCCTGCTTCATAAGGACACTGCCCTAAGGACAGAGGCAGTGGTTTATGATAATGGATTTCGCCGAAACCCACTATCTGGTAGCTCTCTCATTTGTCTGCTCTGATGTTTGTAGCGCTCGTGCTACTTGTCAGGCCTATCACATCACGATAGGAGACACGTGTAGCATGCTGAAATCATGCTCTCCTTTCTTATCCCCAACCTAGTGTTTAATCAAGCCATGTATTTACAGGGAGCTGGCACGGTCAAACATTGGTGGAACCTAGCCCCTCTATTGGAACCCTGAGTCACCTTGACATCTCGCCAACCATAACCCATCCCTGTAGCTTCTCTCTTGGTGTTTGCCTTGCTTGCCTGGTGTGTTGCTGGTGCAACCTCCTGTGCACGTATGATTCCGAGTCTCCTTGGCTTTGCATCAGTCTATGTCAGTAGCTTTGAGGACAAGAGTCATCAGAAAGGTACTGAGACATAGCGTGTTAAAGACATATATGCAGACTGCAATAGAATGCGCTCTCTCTCGTTCACTCAAGGACTCCCTTATCGTTCCATCATCATAGTCTGTGATGTATCACGTGTGCACACGATGTCTTCCACGCTGTGGGTTCAGGTAGCTGGAGGGTGTGGGGCTCAGGGGTACGGTCCCGAGATCATTCTCCTTCAGAACTTGGGCCTTTTGTGTGTGCACCCTGGCTGCTTGCGGTTGTATCCAGTGTCCCTTGGCGTCTGGTCCAGTCACACTTATCCAAGTTACCAACCTTGACATGTAGTTGAAATCATGCTTGTATGCAACGCAACTGCATGCAACAACAGCACTCCATGCTACCTCCGCTGAGGGCCTTAGGAAGCGCACTCAACCCTGCTAGATGGGAGTCCAAGTGCCGCCATGCCATGCATGCCGCGTTCACGAGTTGTCTTCGGATGTGCTTTCTTCCAGCTACCTGAACAGGAACGTCCTCTCTGGCGATGTGTACGGCATCACACGCAATATGACCAGCCTTGTCACGCTGCACGTGCATGGGGGGAATCGCATATGGCATGCACCATGTGCTATTTGCCATGTCCCAGGTCCCATGTGCCAATGGGCCATGTGCCATTTGTTACTTGCCTTGGTGTGTTGAGGGGGTCTTGAAAGAGAATTCGATTGGGAAGGAGGACTACAGATAGGACTGAAAATGCTTGTTACACCAAGGCTCATCTGCTTGCGCGCTGGTAATTGCTGACCAGCATCAAACACATTCTTCCAACAGAACACTGCATCTTTCCTCTGCACCACCCTGTGCGTGTTCACTTCTCACCCACTCTTGTCACACCCCCGCTCATGCGCCATTTTCCCACCCACTCCTCGCCTTGGCTCTCCCTGCCCTCGCCCCCCCTTCTTTACAGTGACATGTCAGCCAACCAGTGACAGGGTGACTGCCATTGCCCCTGTCGCCCTACCTGCAGCCAACCAGTTCCCACCCTACCTACCCTACACCCACCGCAACTTCTTCTTCCACGGGACCATCATCCCGCCCGAGGCCAACCACACCTACCTTGGCAACGCCTTTGAGCATTGTCTGCTCAACGCATCCCGGGCGCCTGGAGACTACTTGGAGCAGAGGAGTGCAGAGGAGTTTGGTGCATTCTGTGGGGTTGCTGCTGGGGATTGCCAACCCCTGTGCAGCGGGCATGGCATGTGCTCCTTCAGTGAGTCTGTGCAGGAATCAGTATACACCTGCGATAGCAACTTCGACAACCAGGCCAGACTGCCCTCGTGCTCCTACAGTGGTGTGTATACACAAGTTTTGGGAGAGACTGAGTGATCTGGTGTAAGAAGCAGATGGCACTCTCTTGTTGTGCCCTTTGATTACGTTGCATACCCTGCTCATTCCTCGTAATTGTTACCATTACAGCTGCATCGCAGTTGAAACCTCTCGAACTCCTGGTGTTGATTTATTTACATCCAAGCATATTTCTTCTGTTCCGTTTGCACCCATCTGCCTTGCCTCGCTCTGCATAATCCTGCAATTCTCCCTTCAACCAAATCATCACAGACAACAGCAGTCTCCCTGGCAGGTGCAGCAGCGCAACCATTCAATGGCACCATCATCCTCACGCCCCCCACCAGCAACACGTCAGGAGCAGCACAGTGCAGCGCCCATCTGCCTCTTCCTTTTCATCGACAACCCTGGCCCGTATAGCACGCCCTTTGTGTTCAATGCCTTCTTTAGCTTCGCCAGTCAAGTACATGGGGGGGGAAGGTTTTGTGTCAGTCGTAGGTCACTTTCGGATCACACTCAGATTGCTCTAGAAACTCTCATAATGAGAGTCTCATATTACTTTCAGGCCACTCTCAGGTCACTCTCAGGTCACTCTCAGGTCACTTTCAGGTCACTCTCAGGTCAAACTCAGGTCAATTTCAGGTCAATTTCGGGTCAGTCTCGTATCAGTTTCAGGTTGGTCTTAAGTCAAATAAGGTCAGATTCAGGTCAGTCTAAGGTCAAACACGGGTCAGTCTTTTGGTCAGTTTCTGGTCAGTCTCATGTCAGCCTCATGTCAGTCTGAGGCCAGTCGTGGGTGCAGGTATGATGCAGGGCCATGCCTTCCACAAACACGAGATAGGGATGAGCAAAGGGCGAACACGAACATGTTCGTCTTCGCCCCTTGTCGAACACCCTCTTTTGCCGAACCGAACAGTGTTCGGTTCGGCGAACAGTTTAGGAAAAAACAGGTGTTCGCTGTTCGCCTGTGGAGGCGTGTTCGGGCGAACCTCGAACACTGTTCGTGTTCGTCGCGGGCAAATTTCAGCAGCGGCCCGAACACGAACGTGTTCGGGCGAACATCGAACACTGTTCGGCGAACGATTTGAGCTAAAAAACAAATCCTGTTCGGTTCGCCTCGAACACGTTCGAGACGAACCGAACAGGTGTTCGCCACCTTGCTCATCCCTAACACGAGATACCCACAATCTCCCACACTCCCCTTTGTCCTCCCCCACCCTACCGTCAGCAACCAACTGACCTACGTACCATTGGCACTTTAGCCCCAACAAGCCATATTTAGCAGCCACAAGGCCAAGATTGGCACCCAGAACAATGAGCAGGGGACTCTCGATGCTGAACTGGCTCTCATGAGAGGTTAGGTACATTATTAGAAAGTGTGCCCTACTTCTTAGCATTCAGATTCCTCACCTCCCTGCGTTTTTTCCTGCCATGATAAACGTACGTTCATGATTTCTTGGCGGTTGAAGGCTGAGTTCGTAGTCAAGCTGCAAGGATACGTTATGGTTCAAACTACAAATTGTATCAATAAAGATTTCATTAACCTTGGACTGTGCGTGCTCCATCCATTCCACAACACAGTAACTTGCACTGTTCCAAATTAAAATGGTTCACAACCATCTGCAGTGCCTTGTTTGAATGATGTGTTTTCATCTAGTATAGAGAGAAATTAATCAGAAATGTTACAAATTGGTTAGCTTGGAAGATGTCACGTATGTGAGCACAGTCAGTGACAAATCAGGCTAGGAGATATAATCAAAGACACCATTTATATATGCACAGTTCACAAATATCTATCAAGCTTATGGTCGGTACGGTAGCACTTTTTATGAACAGGCTTTATAATTTCAAAACAGCACTAGAAGTCTAGCGCAAGCATCTTTCTCTTGCACAGGTTCTTCTAACCTAAAATATCCATAGTGCATGGAGGGAGTGGACGAGAAAATGGTGAAGGAGTCCAAAGGCTCAATGCAGGAGCGCATGCATAGAAAGCAAGACCATAAGAAACAGCGACTACTTGGAATAAAATGATTGGGAAGAGTGGGGGGTATGAGAGGAGTGGGGTCTATGACATAATTGGGGTGTGTAAACGGAGTTGGGGACATGAGAGGAATTCGGGGTATGGGAGGAGTGCGGGGATGGGTGGAGAGGGGGGTATGAGAGGCATGGCTGGTAATATAATGGTGGTGGTTATGAGGTGAGTGGGGTGTATGAGAGGAATGGGGGGCATAGAGGTATGGTGGGTATGAGAGGAGTGAGGGGTATGAGAGGAACCGGGTTTATCAGAGGAGTGGAGGTTTGAAAGGAGTGAAGGTTATGAAAAGAGGGGATGTGCGAGGAGTGGGGGATTCAAGAGGAGGCTGGTATGAGAGGAGTGGGGGGTATAAGAAGAGTGAGGAGTAACAGAGGGGGTATGGTAGGAGTGTAGGGGCGTGAGAGGAATATAGAGGCATGACAGAAGTGGGGTTTACGAAAGGAGGGAGTTTATGAGAGGAGTGGGGAGTATAATACCGTCATTGCCCGGTTAGTAGACAGTGTTGAATAGTAGACAGGGGTTGTCTATTATCCGGGTGTCTCTTTTAAACAAGCTCGCCTCATTATAAGACACCTATTTGTGTGTACGCGTTAAGCCAGTGTAGAGGTTAGGGGCAATCGTATAGCGAGGGGATATCTTCTAAACAGTTCTTTCTCCATTTATACAGAGGAATGTTTAGCTTTTCAAGCTTGATGTTTGAAGAGCGATATTCTGTCTAAAAACCCCAAAACAACCCTATACGTGCTTCTGTCAGAATCCAGAAAATCATGCATGCAACAGCTAAAAGTTTCAGGAAGAAGGTGACAAGCATAAAATCTGGCCCATGGACAAGCTGAACCTACAGTGTACTACACAGCCCAATTTTCCTGTCCCATTTTTGTGCTCATCAAAAGATGCTACCAGTATCCCTTCCACAGCCTCTGTCAGTGTTCCTAAGTGTCCCATACCATGTTTTCATATGAAGCAAACAATTGGCATCAGAAGCACAAGGTAAACCAGTAAGCTGCATGTGAAAACAAACTTGATTACGTGGAAGAGCCACTTGGCATGCCCCCCTCGCGCTCCGCACGGGCCATTTCAGCAGTGAAGCTGGAGGAGCCAATGGAGCTCCCAAGCTCCATGTCAATGCGAGATTTGGCCTCGCCCACATGGCCCTCATGTGCTCCGGATGCCTCCTCCTTCAACTTCACCAGCTCCCAAAGCACTTGATTCATGGAGGGGCGGGAGGCTACAGGCATGGCCGTGCAGGAGAGGGCAAGGCGAGCCCAGCGCAGCACCAAGTCATCTGGTGCGTCCAAGTGAGGGTCCTTGAATGCCAATACAGCACCGGAGTCCACCAACGGGGCCACCTGCGAGGTTAAATGCATAAATCACATGGAATTTGGTGATACAAAATGTTCACAGAGTTTCACATTAGACTAAAACCTGTGAAGAATGGTAGAAATGTGGCAACGCAGAGATCGATGGAATGATGTATGATCATAGGAAATTAGTGGTACATAGAAAGCAGGATGATAGGAAGGTGAATCCTATTACAGATACAAGGTGTGATTCAAAGGTAAGTGCTCGTCTTAATCATTGCAGCATGTATCCTGTTGGGAATGGTGGTAAGGAGAACATGAATTGGCCTACATATGTTTGGCTAAGGGCAACAAGGAAACATTGATATTATCAAGCAAACTCACTACGCAGTGTAGCTGGCTTTCTCATACGTTGTGTTACAAGATCTGCCATCCTTGGCATGATACACTTCTGTCTCTCACCCATTGTTTGAGATTGATCTGGTTTTCCTGTGTTACATGCACAGCCTTGCGCGCCGTGATAACCACCAGCGTCACCATGCCAAAACTGCAACCCGTCAATAAACAAAGGCATCATACTTGAAATCACGCTCAGATGTACAAAAGCTTTATGGTCACAAAGAAATTTGTTTCCCAATCATTCCACAAGTGATCGTCACGCAAGCCCCATCACCAAGCATCACCAAGCTACTCGATTGGTAAGAACGCCTGGAAATGGCTTCAATGACAGGCATGGACCTTCTTTGAGTGTGAGGCAAAGGAAACATAGAAATCACTGCAAGCCCGAAACCCAAACCCTATCTTCCCTAGAAGAAACGAAACTCATGAGCATTTCTCATCAAATTTGGAAGCCTCCTTGAACAGTATTCTCATGCCAAAGTGCTCATCTGCTAACCTTCACTGTTTTCTCATGCCATTATAACTTGCATGGATTTGCTAGCATAACCTACTCTGCTCACCTGTGCCAATCTGCTCACCTGTGCACATCTGCTGCTGGAGTGGCCCTATGAGACTTGAAATACGCAGGGTCCACATAGCCCGGTGTTCCCATCACTCGTGTGGCAGCCACAGACGTGCCCATAGCAGTGCCCCCACTAAGCTTCACAAGCCCAAAGTCTGCAATCTTGGCCTGCCCATGGACAACAAGAGCATTGATGTGAAAGATTCAGAGCATGCGAGGCGATGCAAAACACCACATGATAGTTGCAAAGGGATGGATATGAGTAGGCATCTTTCACCATGTACAGCAAGGCCTACAACAATATTGACATGCCTGCATCTTTGCATCAAGGAGAATGTTGGCAGGTTTGATGTCGCGATGCACAATGCCGAAGTCATGAAGATACTGCAACCCCTTTGCCACTCCAATCAGAACGTCAAGCCTTTGACGAAGCGAAAGAGGATGGGAGACACCAGAACCAATCCAGCTCTCAAGGTCGTGGTTGGGCATGAACTCGTAAACGAGGATCTGCTCCATGAGTCGTGTGGAGAGGTCAATGTCGATGCAATAGCCCAACAGACGCACAAGATGCGGATGGTGCTTGCTTGCCATCTCGTTCACCTGAGAGGGAAAACAGTAAACATATCGAAGGAGATTGAATAATCAGACCACCAGCTATGCTTGGGGTTGGCAGAAGAAACTAATGAGAAACGTGCCACTAACATATCAACAAAAACTCACACCATGGTACCTCTCTTTGGAAGTCGTTCGTGAGCACTCGAGCTCGCTTGACTGCCCAGGCTTGATTGCAATCGTGGGGCGACACACCCTTGTAAACATCCCCAAAGCTACCACTTCCTATCCTGTTCCCCTCTGCCCAATCTCCTGTGGCCTTAGACATCTCTGCCAAAGAGTACTCTCGACACACGTATGGTCGTGCTGCCTCCATCTCCACCACAAAATCATCACCCTGCATCCCTTGTACTGCTGGTAATGGTAGCGCTGCTGCGGCAGCTGCTGCAGCTGCTGCGGCCTCCCCTTCCGCTGCTGCTGGGTCCTCGTCCTCATTGTTTGGTACTGCAAAGAGATGAAAAAGATGGTGAACGTGAAAGAGAAGACCGATAATTCAAGGGGCCTGGGAACTTAAACCACCTACTCTAGATTGCTAATGACCCAGGAAGGACCAGCAAGCACCATTGCTTCATTCGTTGATTCATGGCGAGTCGAGGTTAAGGCTGGATAAATTTCTACAAGAATGTGAATTCAGTCACATCCATGGTGAACAGTTTCGCCAACTTTTTGTACTGCCATCTCAACACCATACCTGTGTGGCTGTGTGATACCATGGCAATGAACCCCAATCCAGATATCCAGCTTGAATTTTGATCGTTCAACTAGAAACAAACCTGCCCAATTCGACCCAGACCCATTATTCCGAACTTGGGACTAGGAGATTCACATTCTGCAAAAAAAAAAAAAAAAAAAAAAAAAAAAACTAGCCAGTCTGGTTGTCTCATTTCCTCATGACTATTTCGCATAGAGCAGCAGGCAAAAGACAGTGCCATTACATGCAATTCTGTGGGGTTTTGCGCCGCAACCCAAAAATAAGGTTCAGACCAGTGATTCTGAGTCTTTAACCCAAAACTCATGAGTCAGACCCAACCAAGGAGACGGCTTGACATCTGGGAGGACCTGGAATGTTCCATGGTGAGAAATTGCACATGCATTTGTTGCTTTTACTCTTGGATTTTTTTATGATCTTGTGATTTTGTTGATACTCTGATTTTCTTTCAATTGCCTGGTGTTTGCCTTGTTATTGCTTCATCTAGGCTCAGCATCTACGTAAATATCTTACCTCGAAACAAAATGTTATTTATTGAGTTCTTGCCATCCACGTTGGTGCCAGTATTGTCTCCTCCTGCTGCCCCTTTGGTGCGGTATCGCTTCCACAGAAGCCAGGTCAGCAGCACGAGGACAGCCACAGTGCCAGCAGCAGCAATGCCAGCAATGGCTCCGCTGGATAAACCGCCTCCAGTTTGGGAGAGAGAGGCTGTAGGCTCACTGGGAGATGACGTTGGAGGAGGTGGAGAGGGGTTTGGCACTGGCGATGGGGAGGGTGTTGGCACTGGCGACGGGGAGGGTGTTGGCACTGGCGATGGGGAGGGTGTTGGCACTGGCGATGGGGAGGGTGTTGGCACTGGCGACGGGGAGGGTGTTGGCACTGGCGACGGGGAGGGCGTTGGCACTGGCGACGGGGAGGGTGTTGGCACTGGCGACGGGGAGGGTGTTGGCACTGGCAATGGGGAGGGTGTTGGCACTGGCGACGGGGAGGGTGTTGGCACTGGCGACGGGGAGGGTGTTGGCACTGGCAATGGGGAGGGTGTTGGCACTGGCGACGGGGAGGGTTTCGGCACTTATGATGGGGAGGGTAGAGTTATGGGGTAGAAAGACAGATAGAGGGAAGGGAAAAGGCAATCAAACATGAGGATGGCGGTTGGCTTGGTGAAAGTGGATGTGGCATCAGGCACAGTTTGCATGGGGGGAGGAAGCAAAGGAAGGCAATGAAGGATAGAAACACGTATTCTTCAGTAAAAGCCATGAGGATGCATACAACAGAAGCACATATTGAGGAGTAGCGAAGCTGTAATTGTTACCGCACCTGACAGTGGAAAAGCTAGCTAAGTAGGTGGCTATGCACTGTTCATCCTCTTAGCGCTAATGAGAGCAAAGCAAAAATGGGTTGTGAAAGCAGCAGCCACCTGCATAACGTTAGCCTTACCTGGTGGTGGCTTGTCACATGTGGTGCAGAAGGAGCCGCACTGGCTGCAAAAAGCACTTGAACTGGTCTGTGGGACCACGCAGCTGCTGTAGTCAGGTGGGCATGTGATTGCAGTCGAGAATATGTTCCTGCATGCGAAACGGGTTCTTGAACGGAGCATGTGACCGCAGCTGCATATGGAGCGTTTTCAAACTATGGATCGGGAATGGGTTTCAGCTCTAACTAAAGCGCTTTGAGGTTGGTATTTGAGATTTTTGGTAACACGTTGTAATACTTTACCATGCCAAGTGGACATGAGCACAAGGGCGAACACTTGATTTTTTGTGGCCCAGCATGTTCAGGACGAACATGTTCGTGTTTGCCTTGTGTTTAGGGCGTTTAGGGAAGAAACCAGCTGGAAATATATACGCGCTGAAACCGCCGCCCATATCATAAACAGTAGCCCATTCTACACATCCTGGGCTAGTGCACGGATGTTGAAAAGTTGAGCTTGAACATGGACATCCTGGGCTAGTAAACATGTTCGGGGCGAACTTGAAGGTGAGGTGTTTGCCTTGCATCGAACACACATGTTCAGCATACCGAACATGTTTGTGTTCGCCCGAACACTTCCAGGGAGGAAGGTGGAGGAAGGTGTTCGGGTGTTCCCCTTTGGGAGGTGAACACCTTGATGTTTGCCCAAAAACGAACATGTTTGGGGCGAACATGTTCGTGTTGGCCATATCAGCAGTCTTCAAGACACATGATCCTGGATGGTGGATTTTGGCATCCAGGTTGGTGTGGCTTTACTTGGTGGACGTTTGAGAGTGAAGGAAATAAAACAAGTAGATTTTTGTTCCGCCACAACTATTTCATTAGAGTCTAGGTACCCTAGCTGCTGGAGCTTGCAGTCTAGGCTGTGGAAGGAGGGTTGGGAAAAAAGGCGAGCTAAAAAATGAGCTAAACCTTTTTCAACGAGCAGATTTGCGTTCGTCGGAAAGGGATGTCGAAACGAACATGAACATATTCGGCCCGAACACGTTGAGCCACAAAAACAAAACATGTTCGAGGTGCACCGAGCAGTTGCTTGCCCTCGTGTTCGTGTCTAACATGTATCCTGTGTATGTCTAATTACATATATCCTGTGTACATAGAATTAGTGTAGACATTAAGGTTTGGTCATATTAGTTATAGGGTGTTCCTCGAGTAAATTTTATCAACAGCTAGGTACCCCAATTAAGCACGTTTCTCGACCTTGAGTACGCGGTTCCAGCCTGAACCCACGAAGTCCAACATTGGAAACGCGCTTTGGCAAACTTTGTTACCCACATCCCTATCTCGGCTGTGGGTGAGTTGAGCATCCATTTGGCACCCCAAGTCCATTGGGGAACTGTTTCTTCACTTGGACCAGCCCAAGTCGCCTCCAAGCTAGCCCTCTTCGAATTCTGTCAAATGGTTCATGTTCTGCTTGTATCCGCTTGCCTCGCTTTGGTTACATGACATATTTCTCAAGCATTTCTACAATGCTAAAGTGCCTTACATGTATGAAAGAAGTTTGAGGTTGCCTATTGTTGGAGGGAGTTGGCCCGTGAGGTTGTTCTGGCTGACGTCACTGCAATGGATGGAAATAACAGATAAAAGACAGAATAGAAACAGTCAAAGCATTGCTAACAAGATACCTAACCGTGCATACATGCAAGAGATTTTACCTGTACAGGGATGGAAACACAAAGGAATAAACCAAAGATTGGCTGATGTTAGAAGACAGTCAGAGGAGATGGAAATGCCGTGGATTGTGGCAGGGGACGCATATCCTATTAGGCTATTCCAGGTCAACATGGTTAAGTTGCAATAGAGATTTTTGTTCACCCAACGTGACAGAGTCCAGTCAAGCATGAGATGCATAACCAGCTTCATGTGAGATATTTCCCAACCAGGCAAAACACATTTCAAAATCAACATAGGATGTTTGTTGGGCAGAAGAAGGTTACAATTCGGCACTAGGTTTTATATATACCTCCAACCTATAGCCAGTGCAAGATCTGTCAATGAGCTCAAGTGACCCAACATTGTGTTACACACTGCATGCATTATGAGTTCCTTTCGGTGTCCTGAGGCATGGCTGAAAACTATGCTCACGTAAACCTGGGAAAGAGTGATGTTGAAGTATCAAAGCAAGAGTGCATAAAGGCACGAACCACTTGTTAGGCTGCTCATGCTTGCATTGCAACCCCTCTCATTAGTCATAGCCAAGGGCAGGTCCCAGTTCACCCTTAAAACTGATAAAGTAAGGGTGAATCCACGTTTTGAACAAGCCTAGGATCAAGCTAGTCAAACCCCGCGTTGGGAAGATTATGACAACTACAATACGTCCTGCTGGGTTCTTGTCTTCAGTAAAATCGTGTTCCCGTCCGACCGAGACGCACAACACCCGACTCATGAGTCGCGTTGGACACATGTGGGTTACGGTTTGAATAAGTCCAAGCTGTTTACTCTTCAATGCAGATGCATTTTCTGGAGTCTCTCTTTCCGGAATAGGTACAGCATGGGTCAGACATGCTTATGGGTCGAGTCGATTCAAGTCACTTCGAGTGGAAGTCGAGTTGGGAGTTGTGTCAAGTTGAGCAAAGACCAGACGTTTTCTTAACTGCCAGCTCTGGGCCTCTTATTCATGAGCATGTGAGCGGTCATGTTGGCTCTCTTTATGATCTCTTGATGTTACTCACAACTCTTGGAGGTTAGTCATGTTGCCGATGGTGGATGGAATGGACCCAGTCAGCGCATTGTGTTTAAGATACCTTATGGTAAAACATGCGAAGGGTTTACGGGTGGTAAGATTACATAAAAAGGGCTTCAAATGTGTTAAAAAAAGATACGGTGAAACACTAGTTACCAAGCACATGGGAAGGTGCCATGAAATTCAAACAAGAATAACAAATGAATCAACTGGTAGGAGAGGGAAGATTGATATTAAAAAGCAAGAAGGACTAAAGAACTCATGACATGCTGAAATATGATTGTGATACAAGCTACCTACTCTAAACGGTGCCTGATAAACAGGTGCTAAACGTTACCATCGACTATATAGCACAGTGTGCAAGAAATAGCCCTCAACAAGTAAAAGCAAATGAAACCAATGGGCAATTATTTGAGCCTCACACAAACATGCAAATATGTAGACATTCATAAGCAACACAAAGAAATACTCATTGCAAAACGTTAGTACTGGTGTCAGGGTTCATATCAGGACACGAGAATGAGTTGAAACTTGTGATCGTGTACAGTGGTCATGCCTAGCATGTATGCTCGTTCTCAAATCAAGTTGACTTCGTGTTGCCGTTGCAGGCCCTCTAATTTCTGAACCTGTGCGAGGTTATGTTGGCTCTCTTTCCTATTCCCTTCATGTGAGTGTGGCAGTAAATTCCACGTACATCTAACAGCAAACTGGCATACCCATGGGGGTTTGACAAATTGTGACGAGCCAAAGAACAGCTGAAGCAGTAGTAGAGGGAATGAACCACAGCCATTCAAGCCTAAGGTGAAATTTTATCAAACTTCCTTGATACTGACAGGTGTGCAAGGTTGCTCATGCTGCCGATGGTGGATGGAATACACCCATTCAGTTTGTTGTTCCGAAGATTCCTGAGGATGTACACACGCATAGAGTTCCATCCGAGGAATGAGATCAGAGTTTGTGGTACCATAAGAGGCACTGTTCTGAATGTTACACAAGCACACCAAAGCAACAGTGAAGCCTATAGCGCTAGTGAAGCAACAATAAGCAGGCAAATTTAGGGTTGCAGCAGCTATTCCCCTCACTCTCACATTGGGGAGTCAGAGGCAGGATTCCATAGCTCTGGAGGGAATGTGTGTGCTCAAAAGTGATACTAGGGCTGGTTGGATAATTGCTTATGCTGACAAGTTCACAGGTGGGGATCTTGTTCAGCTGGCGATTGAGCGAGCGTTTAAACAGGTTGACCTTCAGAAGGGGATTCCGTCAACCAGCAGCTCTGGCCAGAAAGGCGAGATTAGATTAGGGTTGATGGAACTAATAGACGCTATACCTGGTAAGATTGCGCCTTTGATCGTCAAAGCCAGCTTGATTTCATAGGTTCCCACTTTCATCATCATCCCATGTATGGAATAACCATCCTTACCCATGTAACTTGTCGCCTGAATGTTGCAGGACCATATTTCGAGGCTAATGTGGAGATATCGGCCATGGAAGAACCTGGTACCCACAAGGTTACCAATGTGAGTGGCGGGCTGGACAGCTGACATAACGATGCTGTCAGGAGAGATCTCCTGCTCCGCCAATGTTGGTCACCGCCGTGCACCATCTCCATCCCTAGCCCTGGAGCAAAAGTGCACAGTGGTTCAGCCATATGGGCCAAAGTGTACCTTGATAGAGGACATGGAAATCCTCCCAGTGTCACCGGCAGTCCTCCCCTGCTCGGCTGTCATCACATCATTGTGAAAAGGTGGGTCTGGCAGCACGCAGAACGTAGGTCTGCCAATCAGGCCGACCCTACACCTGCCTGCCGTTGCTGCAGCTGCAAACTCTGCGGTAGTGGCTGCCACTGCAGCAAATCCAGCCTTGGAGAATATTTTTCTGGTGATGGGGACATTGGTGTATAGGGGGAAGGGAGCCAGAATCTCCCCACCACTTCAGTTCCAAAAAATTTCACGCTCAATTTCCTGCCCATGTTTGGAAGATTCAGAATCTCTCTTGCCCATATACCTTGTCATTTGAACATTACAAAGTCTTGTTGCGAGGCTAATGTGCAGAGATTGACAGTAGACCCCCGGTACCCAAGAGCTCACCACTCTGATTTGCGGCC